TTTTCCACTGAACCTCCCACAGACACTGCATATCTGAGATACAGGTAGTAGGAACTAAATGCAAGAACTTCTGTTTCCTTTGGTCCGCTTGTCTTCATTTCGGAGGTCTCCCTGTGACGATGACTAAACACCGACACAGAGGTGGAAACATTTCTTTATGACTTATGACTTCCGTGTCTGGGATTCCGCTCTGATCCGAGGTAAATATCATCAGAGTGTGAGGGCGATGCCAACCTCTGTGCACCTACCAGTTGTTGTCACCACCCAGATGAGAATTTATATTGCACCAACCACACAGCTGACTTCTAAAAGGCATAACAGGACTGACTACTCAGACGTCTGTGCGAGTGTCTACAGCGCAGCATAATCAACTGTACTGTGAAAAAACTAAATAAGTGGTATTTTTAGTGCTGTCAATAGGTTAAAAAAATTTATTAATTAATCTCACAATTTTCTGTAATTAATCGCAATTACTTGATCGATAGCCTGGTTGCAATTAGATTTTTTCAACGTTATATTTAAGCTTGTAACTGACATTCATGGAATATAATGAAGCAAATGGAGAATAAACACAAAGAATGTTCAATGCTTAAATTCAGAGAGAATTTCAATAGTTTTCTTCAATCTTTTAGCACAGCTTCTCTCCTGTGAAATACAACTTTTTTAAAAACCTATATACTAATAGGTAAGTATACACTAATATATAATATGTGATAATAATTTGATATTTTAAGCTGGAAGTGCTTCGGTGAAAAGAGAATTCCTTCTTGCACAATGTGCAAAATACTTTATGTTGGTCGACTGTTCTGTCTTGTTATTTTTTTAATACTCAAATGTGCGTTTATCATCTTCCACACTGAGCTGATTGGTTCGGCTGCTCGATACCAGATCAGCTCCCCATTGGCGCATGTGCGAAGGTAACTCTACTTGGATAAACTGCCCGAAATGCGTTGCAGAAACATTTCAGGGATTTTGAGTGATTCTGCACTCCAGATGCATTAAATGTGTTAAAAAATTTTAATTTAAAACTACTGATGCTGACAAGTCAGTTAGCCATTTGAAATCATTTGAGTAGCAGATCAGATGCAAGGTAACCTCAGCTTCTGCTATGAACTCGGATGTAGCTTCCGATTTGGAAAAACAGAAAAAATATAAAACCATCTACAATTTTTTGGGACAACGATGACGCCAATACGGCCTTTTAAAGAACTATTATAGTATTATTGTACCTTGATAAAAAGCCACAAGCTAAACGTTTGTTTAGCTTTAACTAAAAGCTCCACATTCAACCTCTTGTAGCACTTTTTTGGTCTCCACCAGTTGGAAAATGCAGCTGTTAAACTCTATTTTCATTTTTTCTCAGTTTGAACAGTAAGGTGCTGCTGCTCAGCTGTAAAACCAAAACAATGAGCTGAAAGACGCTGTGGGTCTCCAAGTATGATCCACCTATTTCGCATTATGTGCAGTTGTCGAGATAATTGTTGAGTAATGAAATGAATCAGCTTTAAATTCGATTAAATCATTCTATCTTAATGTGAAACTGGAACGACGCTACAAACCTCGGCTGATTTGTCTTCACAATAAGACCAACTAAGTTCTTGTTTGGACTGAGGCACCGAGCCGTTGAATTGACCTCTTTCATGTTGCTTTTCGCTCCCCGATTGAATCAATGTTTCATGCTTTGTTATGTATTCTGACTGTGAGCATGCTGCATCCAATTCTTCACATACCCTCGCCTAAAGTGAAGTGTGTTGAAGCTCAGAGACAGGGCAGCTGTCTCCCACTTGTTGGGACTCGGAGTTGAACTGTGTGGTCACCGAGCGGATTGATGGGGGGAGCCGTTGCCTACGCTCGGCTCCAAGTTGCATCAGCTAATCTCGTGAATAATGCAGAATCATGAATAAACATAGATGAATGTATTGCAGTACTGTAAAGGAGACCTTTCCCTTATTTCTTCTCTTCTCCACCCCGCCTCCATTTTTCTGCCCTTCTATCACTTTCAGCTTTTCTCCTTTCCCACAAAAACACCATTTCTTTCTTCCCTCCCTGCCAAAATCAAACACTCCCACTATTCCCCCATCCTCTGTCACTCTGTCTCCATCCTTTTCTTTTGCTCCCCGGCCATAGCAGTGACAGACATTGTAGAGCTGTAGCGCTGCTGTGTCTCAGTGCGGGCGAGTCGGGTCCGGCCTTCACTCTCAGCTCAATAGCTGCATGGGTTTCCTCAAAGGCAGCCATCCAGCCAGCACAAAGCCTGCCCACTGGGAATAGACCCACAAAAGAGAAAGGGGGCTGCTCGCCTTCTTTGCTCTGCTCCGTCTGAAGCGGCCTGCCTCCACCACCTCCTATAAATAATACAACGCTGCCTCAACAAAAAGAAATCCAGCCTTGCTCCCGCAAGCCACTGCTTCCATCTAGCCTTTATTCGCGCGATCGCGCTGCCCTTCCCCTGTCTCGTTCTCCTCACCTCTTTTACCTCTGATTTTAGCAGAAAGGCTTTAGGAGCAGGTCCGTACATATTCACGTGCATATTACATTCAAGAATTTACGCTCATTCTTTGAGTACATCTCAGTATGCTGTGTGTGGTATAAGTGCAACATTAAGCAAAACTGAAACCATCATGTAAAATCCATTTAATTGCAGCCAACCTTAAAAAACTAAACAGCTGATGCTGTGTAAACAGAAGTGTTCTCACTCTCTCAGATACACAGTAGGTGTAATTGTAAAGAAAGTCATGCTTGTAAGGCTCCACTTCATACCACATTTAAATTCGCTGGATAAATTTTACTTTTATTCACACCCGTATCCAAACAGTTTTGGGTGCCGACACCCAGCCTTTGGCTTTTAGTATGCTAGCCTAGCCAAGAACAAACAGCCAAAAAGCAAAGTGTCCTAATCTACCTTTAGCGCTCTTTAACGGAGCGTCGTTATCTATCTGCAAACAGTTTTGCAAAGCCGGCGCGTCCGCGTGCCATGGAACCTGGAATGGATTTTTTATTCAATTAATCCTTTTGTTATATGTTTTGTGAGTCCCTCAAATTTGAGAATTAAAAATTTTTTTTTTAACCAGAACCACTGTCATTCATTTACAATCACTAAACTTCAAAGTACTGACATCCTGCACTTTGCTCTCACAAACAGCAGTTTGGAAAGCCCAGAGCAGCACAGTGATACTCACATTCACCATTAAAAAGAATGACAGTAAACACTATCATATTCTACAGTGTGCGGCTGTTTAGTGCTATATTGTAGCGTTATACTGGTGCATGAGTTACATTTGAGGGGAAGCATAAAAAGCCGTGTGCATGTGTTGGTGTAATTTGTCAGCGTATTAATGGGAATGTGTGCACAGGGATTAGGCTGCTATCAGTGCAGCTCTCCCAGCCTGCCAGGCTTTAGGCCTGCTTGGACAAAGAGGCTGATTTCAATGTAAATGCAGCAGCTGAGAGGACACAGCGCTCTCGGTGGGGTGACTTCCACCCTCCACATGTGCACGCGCATGCACACACACAGCGAGAGAGAGAAAGCCATTAGCCCCAGATCAGGGCACACACACACAAAATCCCTAGAATAGTAAATACATCTACTTTGTATCAAACCTTTTTCGATGAAACGTCAAGAAATGAAACACTGGAGAAAGTTGGTGACGACTAGTTGAGGAGCTGCTGCGTCTGCTACATATATGCACCTGTCAGCAATTACAGATCTAATCTGGCCCACAGTGCACTGTTGTGGCCCTGTGTTGCTCCATCATTAGGCCAACTATTATCCCCATGCCTGGCCTCTGCACCTCTTATTACATGCAAATAGCGGCGCTTTATCTGAGCCCTGAAAGAGAACCCCCGTCTCTAAAGAATGGGACACCCTCTTCGCCCACTCAAAGCCATTCCTCCATCTATTACTGGATTCTCTGCTTTAGTGCAGGCGGCACAGATCTCATGGCTTCGGTGTTAAAAGAAAGGCCGTGGTGGTCGGCAGGATGCAGATCAGTGTCAGACAGAGAACTGTGCGAGGGAATAGCTAATGACTTTCATGTTGTTTGACATTTTTGTGTTCTAATAGACAATATTTTCCATTACATCACTGTTTGATTTTCTTCTTGTATTTATGAGAAAATCGGCTGATTAGTCTTATAAAAAAAACCCAAAGATGTACAAATATGATTCGACTCACTAATAGGAGCATGAGAGAAAAATAAATCCCACTGCAACATCAGCTCTTGGTAAAATCAATTATAAGAAATGATCCAACAACATTAGGCCCTTGCATGTGTCACATATACAACGAAGATACATACATATGTATATATATGGACAGATAAATATGCAGAATATATTAACAAAGCATGAACTGAGAGTAAACATCCAGGTTTTAGAAATGGTTTACTACTGTTTAGCTAGTTCTCCTCTATAAGGCCACACTGTATGCACAAAAGAATAAACTGAAACCATATTTGATCATATAAAGACATGTAACTCTGATAAAACACGACAATAAGCACTTGTTCCACATGTCTTGTTAGAAAATATTAACTTCATAGCATATCCCCAAAGCAGCGGCGGCTTGTGGGATGCTGTGCATGCCTTACCCAAGCTACTTAGCTAACAGCGCATTCAAGCATTTCAGGTAAGACTACAGATTTTGTGTTTATGAGTGTTAACCTGTGTAGCGTGATTAAATATTATGTGTGTTCAGAGGAACAGCAAGTCACAGATATTCAGAAAATGCCGTAGCTAGCACGACAATCCCAGTAAAGTGTTGCAAACGTCAGTTGTGGTCAGAGAACAAGTGGCCGTGTTTGATTTGAGAACACACTACTCAAATTCACATGCGACACAAACAAGTACTACTTCACATACTACACAAGCAATATAGCGCATGAAAATATCCATATCATTAAAGTTTCACCTTCTGTCTGCATGTTCCATGTTATTCTTTTGAGAGTGTGTTACTTCATGCTGCTTCTGCTGCAGCATACTGTTTGCTAATGAGCGCGTACCTGTCAGGCAGTCGTGTGCAGGATGCTGCCTCAGGTCAGTGTTTGCTGCCAGAGGATGCCTTTCCATGACTGTTCCTTCGTGCACACACCTGTATGCTGTCCCCGCTCTCTGTCTGCAGCTTGACATTTGGTACGGTGAAGATAGAAGACACTGCAGGGGGAAGAGGACGCGAGCGGATTAGAAGTATGTAGGCTGACAGCAAGAACATTTCCAAGTGAGTTGTTGAAGATAGAGATGCTTATTAAAAAGTGAATATTTGAATATTTATTTGCAGCAACAGTTTTCCCTGCTTTAATATTTGTGTCGGGAGGAACTGGATCTTTAAATTGCTTCGTGTGGCAAAGCTCATTTCAGTTTTAAAATGACCATTCCAGTGATAACACAATCAGTTCAGCAAATGACAGAAATATGTTCCACAATTAATGCCACTGGTTAGTTTGAGTTCATTTCTATACACTATGAGTTTCAACTTGCAGAGACTCGCAACCTCGCCAGCAGAGCTAATGCCTTTTAAAACACACGTCCTCACTGGTCTTTAAGGTTTTAATAAATGTTGTAAAAAAATCACACAATTGTGTGAGTTGCGTTGAATGTGTGAAAGTTTTACTGTTGACTTTGGGATGGAGAAGTATAGACACACTGCAGAAAGAAAATAAACCATTCTAAAATACCATAAGTGCCAGTAGCGCACCCATACCAGTATCTGTAAATACTGGAAAAATGCTCTACTTCAGCCTGTCTTTGCAGTTGTCAGCGTAGCGTAATCTTCTAAACATCCAAGAACTCTCAAAAATGTTGAATATGTTTACTGATATATACTCTGTCATTTGTTGCGAACAACATAGCTCAACAATAATTGCAAAAACTGTCCTACACCCGGAAGAACCCAGGGTCCACTGCGCCTGCTTAAGGTCTGACAATGGGTCTGGATCCTGGTGCCCAACAGCAGTCAGGGTCCTGCTAGTCTAAGAACTTCTTCAAGTACTTGTATTCTCAGACCAGTCACCCACTGCCAAACCACTCATTCTGGTTGAGGTCGCAGGTAGCATAATCTTTTTTGCCAGACTCCTTCATTCTGTCACGTATGCTCAGTGTAAACTTGCTCTCATCTGTGAACAGAAGGGGCACAAGTCCCAGATCTGGGACCTCTCTGCATTGAATCATACCTGTTATTAATCTCTGTCTCTCTTCCACAGCATGTCTTTATCCTGTCTTCCTTCTCTCACCCCAACTGGTCGCAGCAGATGGCCCCGCCCCTCCCTGAGCCTGGTTCTACCGGAGGTTTCTTCCTGTTAAAAGGGAGTTTTTCCTTCCCACTGTCGCCCAAGTGCTTGCTCATAGGGGCTCATATGATTGTTGGGTTTTTCTCTGTACCTATTATTGTAGGATCTACTGTACAATATAAAGCGCCTTGAGGCGACTGTTGTTGTGATTTAGCGCTATATAAATAAAATTGAATTGAACCTGCCACCCTCATGGAGTCTGTTTCTGACAGTGCACATGAGTAGCCTGTGGGGCTTATTTTGTGGGGCTTTAGCAGGTCATAGGATGCTGGCCTTCTATGGCCCTCTGCAGGTCTGTCTCCTGGTGTCTCCGCCACACTCTTGGGACTGGCGTGTTAGACGCAGCACACCCACTTGAGGTGTCATGGATGGATGTGCAGTCCTGGAACAACTGGACGACCTGTGCAACCTGAATTAGGTGCAAGCACGACCTCCTGCTATCAACAGTAACAGGACATGAACGGAATGCAAAGCTGGAGAGAGCAACGGTCTGTGGTCACTAGGGCTGCCACGATTAGTCGACTAGTCACGATTACGTCGACTATCAAAATCGTCAATGACTGATTTAATAGTCGACGCGCCGTTTGAAGCTTTGTAAGATCACAAAAGCCGCAGGAATAAGTAGCAGGATTTAAGAGTGTAATAACGGACTGACACAGAAGATCGCAGCACTGCTCAGTCATAAACTGCTCAGTTTATGACTACGTCCACACGTACACGGGTATTTTTGAAAATGGAGATTTTCTGTTTTCGTTTTAAAAAATAATCCCGTCCACACATAAAGGCAGAAATGAAGGAAAACGCTGCTATGAACATGCCAAAGCAACAGGTGGCGCTAGATTCCTAACCGTGCAGAAATGTTGACCAATCAGAAGTCTAGAAGCCTCGGTGGGAAATAGTAAACAAGGATGGGGCATAGAAGCAGAACCGAGTCGTATGTGTGGAGGGACAGTAACTGTGTGTGTATGTAAGCATTTAAACACTGCAGAGAGAATTAACAGTAACAGTATTGTAGGAATTCATTTCACCGAAACAATAACGTGGCGCACAGTGTGACGTCAAAAAAGGCGCACACCTTTGACGCTGCGTTTTCGTCCACACGTAAATGCAAAAACTGAATTTTCAAAAATATCCACCCTGGCCGGAGTTTTTAAAAATCTCCGTTTTCAGTGACCGAAAACGCCGTTTATGTGTGGACGAAAGGTGCAAACGCGTAGAAAAATCCGCGTTTTCAAAAATACCCGGGTACGTGTGGACGTAGCCTATATCTGCTCAAGACACCACATATTTTCAAAAGCGCTCGGAGACGTCTGTTAGCCACCAGCTCGATAGCTAGCCGGGGGCTAGGTCACTAGAGCCGTGAGAACACCGGACTCCGGCAAATCGTTTTCAAACCCACTGCTGTCTTTCGTTACTCAGGTTAAACATGATATATGAGTCACTTAGATAACTTAAAAATGTTATTTGTAATATGTAATGTTATATATTTTTTTTGTATTTATTTGTTCCTGAGTAAACCGGTTTGGCTGAGATTAAAGTTATAGTTTTTACACAGCTGAATAAACGTCAAGCAGACAGCTGATTATCAGAAGTGTGAGATGCTCCAGAATTTACTCCGGTGTCCTGTTATATTTTAGATAGCAAGGAGTTTATTAAACTTCACAATCTGCAAATTTCATTAAAATTTAACAAACTATCATCTTGTCTTTATTTTTAGTTAGCACCTTAAACACTTAAAGCTGTAAGCTAATGATAGTTACATAAGAGCAGATGCTGCTGGTGCAATAAGCTGTACGTCTTATGTCCAATGGATGATGATCTGACTAGTCGACTATCAAAACAATCGTTTGTGGCAGCCCCAGTGGTCACCACCTCAAAAACATCCTCTTTTTGATTGTTGTCCACTTTCCCACTGGCCTGTGTTTACATCCTGACTGGACAGACTGGTATCACTGAAATTGAAAAACGTTGTGTTACACTGTGACGATCGAGTCTTCCCATAAGTCTCCTAGGCAGTTTCTTGTGTGGATGAAGACAACAGATACCGCTTGGAAATGGAGTGCCACCGAAATATGTCACGAAACCTTAACTGACCAATCAGCATGAAATGACCAAGTCTTCCTTTTTCGCTTCAGACACATTATCGATGCGGTGTTTAAGAAAGCTACAAAAAGTAGGGGGTTCATTTAGCTCTTTATTTACTTGTACTGACTGACCCCTGAGCTGGGATAGGCTCCACCCACTCCAGGCTTTTAGATAAGTGGAAGAGATTGGATGGATGGACTGACCCCTGTTGAGCCCTCAGCTGAATTACAGCTCATTTCTATACAAAGGACTTAATAGGAATGCCTTCCCTGGATTCAGTCCAAACAGAAGAAGGAACGGTGACCATTGTTTGCAGTTGTGAAGCCTAAACTGCACAGCGAGGCAGATGATTATTAATCATCAAGGGAATTTGGGGGGATGTGAGATGAAAACAGAAGAAGAGCAAACAGCGTCAGGGTTTTCAAACTGGTCGAAGAGCATTAGCATGTTTCATTTTTGGTTAAAAATTTGTAAATCAGCGTGGGGATCCTCTATCTTTGAAGCTCCTTTGGCTCCTTGTCTGGAAAACAATAAGATTAAAAAGCTGCATTTATAACCAAATTCCTCTGGGGGTGGAAAATGAATCGACGCTGTCCATTGTGAGGAGAACACATCTTCATCTCTGACTCTGAAATAGTTGCAGAGTTTTGCCAAGAGAGCAGTGGAACTGGAGGACAACTGCTGTGTCTCAGTACTTTAATGTCTGTTCCACATCCAGCCCTGAGAGAGGGGACTTGTATTTTGCTTATCCAAAGGCCTTTGCACTTTCTCCATGCACTGCCAGACACCCACACACTCTCACTCAAATCAAATTAAAAATGTCACAAGGCAATCCGCACAGTTAACAGCAACCTCGGGAGCTCCATTGTCTCAGTAATTCTTTCATTGTTCGCTGTAATCTGTCTGGGTATTGTCTGAACAAATCCATAATACACAGGATAATAGAGCGCACAGTTGACCATAGAAAACACATTGTTCGTCAGGGAGAACACGAGACATTTCCTTGACTTTCCTTTGGCGTGTTTGTCATTAGAAAAGTCAGGATCTCTTTCATTTGGTTTATTTTAACTACACGGCAGTGCAGCATGTTTCTGGCGGACCGTTCCCATTGGCTCCTGTTTCTGCCAAACAACACAATCACTATGCTGCAGTCGCAGCCAAATACTCACAGCTGGAGTAATTAGCCACTTCTTTATCTCACACTCACTCTTCATTTGCATAATTTTGACACATCCTTCCCCCACGATACTGAGATACCATTTTCCTGCTTATCCACTCCTGTCCTCATTTTCTAAACTCTTTTAATTCACTCCCATTCTTCCCTCAGTTTGCGCCGCTGCTTCTCCTGTGGCACACTTGCATGCCGAAAAGAGAGAGATAAAGCGAGCATACAAAAATCAAAACGAGGCATCTCTTTCCTCTCTCTCACTGACCGCTGCCTTCTGATTCTTTTCAGACACGACAACCTGCTGGGTGCTGATAACAGGATTAATAATACTGAAAAATCCTAATCGGGGGGAATTAAAAATGCAGTTCTGTCATTAAAATAAGCAGCGCGTCAGTGGTGGCACACTCAGGTCTGCTGAGCAGGCTTTTCACACTACTAATGAATTACAGCGTAAGGGATTTACACATGTATCTGTAGCTTGTCAGACAATATGGATAGGCAGTCATCTCTGACATACTTTCAAGCATTTCTGTAGGATTAATTGAAACGTAGCCTAACTGTGAAGCTTTGCCTAAAGTCGCTGACTGCTGCGCCCAAAATACACGAGCTTCTAAAATGAAGATGCGTCGAAAGCTGGGGCTTCTTTACAGAGACACGCTCTCTCTGGGCAAAATCAAACTCAGCGTATGGCAGTGGACAGCAGAGGTCCCACTGGGCCTACTGTCTCATCGGCATCCACACAGCTGCCTTCTTTTCAGGCATAGAGAGAGACGACTACGATCTACGTGAGCTGAAGAAAGCCAAAAAACGGGATGAGAGGCAAGGCAAAAACATCCTTTTCCACTTTTCAGAGGCTTCCAAGAGAGAGCCTTGGCAACAAGTAAGAGACACACAGAGGTGACAGACAGGTAATAAACACACACCTGCACCTGAATCACCCTGACCTGCAGTAATCATGGAAGCAAAGCCACATCAGAAGAGGGGAAATGGGCACACACACACACACACACACACACACACACA